TCATCAGCAAACTTGCTGGTAGTACACTCAACTCCCTCATCTAAATCACTGATGAATATATTGAATAATATTGGCTCCAGTACTGACCCTTGAGGCACTCCACTAGATACCGGCCTCCAACTGGACTCTGCCCCATTGACCACAACTCTCTGGCTTCTTTCCTTCAGCCAGTTCACGATCCACCTCACTCCCCGATCGTCCAGCCCACACTTCCTCAGTTTAGCTGTGAGGATGCTGAGGGAGACTGTGTCGAATGCGTTACTGAAGTCAAGATGTTAATTACAATTAGCAGAACTACCTACTCAACTCCAGCCAGATGAGCTCGATACAAGCTTTTTTTTTCCCTCCTTTGTCTTCCTCACAGTGAGACCACCACCCGTAGAACAAAAAAGGAACATATATTTCACAGAAAAAAAAAAAACAGACTAAAGCTTTTATAGATGGGATTTAGACTGTGCTTAGATACCCAGCAGCAGCCCAGCTCTTCTTGAGAAACAGTGGCACAAAGTGGCATAAATTAACCATTAACCCTACAAGACTACCTGCACTTTTTCTACCTACAAACACCATACAGGGTGGTTTAAATAATACTTCCATATATCTTTTCTATAAAGCACTATCAAAAACATAGTTTGTGGATTTGTTTGGATTTTTTTAGTTGTTTTTTTGTTTACGATGATGACCACTTGCTTTCTGGCTTCTACTTGGTGTTGGCATCACACTACACAATTTTAGGAATAATTTTAGCAGGTGGTTTGTAGATAGTGCTATTACTTTCAAGAATGTCATCACACTTGACACCTAACTTGTGAGACTGAAACATTTTGACTCTCTTTACAGTTCATCTTTCCCTTCCTACAAGGAAGAACTACCCCAAAGACAGGGGTGGAAGCCAAAGGAACCACGCTGTCAGCTGCACTGCACAAAATAAGACAACACAGGACAAGTAAAGATCCAAGAGGACAAGGAAGCTCACGCCTCTTTGGAAATGATTTACCAAGATAAGCATTTTCTAAAGAAAAATAATATGATCTTTACCTGAATATCCTGAATTCCCATATGTATCAGCTGTACAAGCATTATACTGAAAAGCAAATTATCGATTGCACTGTGCTATTAGAAGGGAAGGCAATCTGTTCCAGTTTTGCATTACTTCTGCAGAAGGACATACTGCTGCTACAAATTACTCTGGCTTTACTTCAACAGAAGTTGGGAAATGTAATTTCTGGCATTTTTGTGATTTAGGTAATGTAGACAGACACAACTGATCAACATAGCACCAAAGCAAATTTTATTTTTTTTAAGTTGGAGAGAAATGGAAGACTAGCTAAAAGAAGAAATTCAACTTGTTTAAAAACAAGTACATTTTAACTTTTAAGGCAACTATTTATGGTTACATAATATCACTGAACAGTTTCTATTGTCCTCTTCTAGTCACAAAGAAAGCGTTTCACGCTTTTAAAAGCAGTAACAAAAAAAAAAACAAAACAGGAAAAAGTTGTCTTAAAGTCTTTCTAAAAGCAGTAGCTTTAGATTTATGAACCTTTTCCCCTTGTATTTACAATACTTGCTGCATATTTCAAACCTGCACATTTCAAACACCGTCTTTTCATGATTAAACCTCGGGGGAAAAAAGCTTTTAGAACTCCGGGAAGGGAAGGCAGTTACCTTTCTCGTTATTATAACGCGGTGCTCCTTGTCTTTGCGGGTTGGCAGCATTAACAATCTCATCCTTCCGCCTCGCCTGCGTTACGTGAATGGCTTCCCTGTGGCGTTCCAGCGTCGCCGAGATGTTGCCGTGCACAGGGGTACCACGAAGCTTTTCCATTTTTCCTATTAATGTCAGCACCTGCCAGATACAAATGTTAAAACCGGTAAGTATTTAGAAGTCTCCGTTAAGCAAACAAACCTAAATGCACAAAGGGGTGCAGGAACTGCAGCTCACTGGATGGTATCGCCCTACGCTGGAGAGCAGCGCAGGGGAAAGAGACTTGGGGGTCCTGGTGGGCAGCAGGATGGCCATGAGCCAGCAGTGTGCCCTCGTGGCCAAGAAGGCCAATGGCATCCTGGGAGGGAGTAGCTAGTAAGTCGAGAGAGGTCCTCCTGCCCCTCTGCTCTGCCCTGGTGAGGCCACATCTGGAATCTTGTGTCCAGTTCTGGGCCCCTCAGCTCCAGAGAGACAGGGAACTGCTGCAGAGAGTCCAGCGCAGCCACAGGGATGATGGAGGGATGGAACATCTCCCTGGTGAGGAAAGGCTGAAGGAGCTGGGGCTCTTTAGTTTGGAGAAGAGGAGGCTGAGGGGTGACCTCATAAATGTTTATAAATACGTCAAGGGGGAGTGTCAGGAGGACAGAACCAGGCTCTTTTCAGCGACGCCCAATGACAGGACAAGGGGCAATGGGTACAAGCTGGAACATAGGAGGTTCCACAAAAACATTAGGAAAAGCTTTTTTACTGTTTGGGTGACAGAGCCCTGGCACAGGCTGCCCAGGGAGGGTGTGGAGTCTCCTTCTCTGGAGACATTCAAAAGGCACCTGGACACATTCCTATGGGACCTACTCTGGGTGATCCTGTTGCCAGGGGGATTGGACTCAACGATCTTTTGAGGTCCCTTCCAACCCTGAATATTCTGTGATTCTGTGTAATTCTGTGATTTCAGGAAAGCGTTACCCTGGCTTGTTCTCGTAACTGGTCGACAATCAGACGATCGACTCGCGATGGGTTAGCGGGAAGCCGGGACACGGGAATGTTATTTGAGCTGGATATGCGCTTCCCTGGAAAGTTTCTTGCAAGGTCAGCTTCGGTCTGAAAGGGAAAGAAGATGGTCTTAAATCACTGCGTAGGGAAAAGGAGAGTCCGGGTTTATAAAACTTAAAGATTTAGTTGGAGAGGAGCGTGGGACAAAAAAAAGCCAAGAGACCCACCTAATCAAACTGCAAATATGGACATTTAGAGAATTAAGGTGCATAAAACACGAGGAGTTTTAAGAACCACCTGCATTAACAAGGGTCCTGCGATATCATCACATATGGCGGGTGGTTCTGGAGGCCTAACATGGACCTACTGAATTAGTAACAACTAGTTAATCATCTTTTATCGACCATATGCAATGAAGAACACCCAAGTTAATAATTCAGTGCTCTGGCCAGCGACAGCTTTATCACATTTGTTGTAGCAAATATTGTAGGTTAATGGAGAGAAATGTCGTGTCAGCAGCCCTAAGGGGAAAGAGACTCGGAAACTGAAGCTCAAAGCCACGCATGATTTCAAATCAGTCATGCCAAGCAATAAAAGTATTATATTCAATATATATTGAATATTTATCACAGATTATATACATTATATTCAAAGCAGATGACGTTCTAGGTATTTAAAACTAACGAGACAAGGGAATTCTCGCCTCCTTTTGAGCCTGGAGTATCTACTCGCTATAAACTCTTCGATGCAACCGCCAGCTTTGATTTGTCAAGTTACAATCTGGAAGTTACTGTCAGTTGTGCTTTACCTTCTTTCTCTCTTTCTCCAAAGCTCGCCACTGCTCGTAACACTCCTCCAGTCGGACGTGAAGCTCGTTAGCAGGTCCGCTGCGATTTCTTGGAGGCCTGAACTTGTTAAACGGCGTCGGAAAGGCGAAGTAGGGCGCAGCGAGCTCCCCGCAAAACAGGTCGTTGATGAAGGGATTCAAATGGTTAAAGTCATCATAATGAAAAAGATCAACGAGTTCCGAGAAGGGAAATGGCGATGGAGGAAAACCGAAATTATTTCCCGATGAAAACGGATGGTGAGCAAATGGAGTAAAGCTGGGATCTGGCTTAAAATCAGACATGAGTGGGAAAGGAGGAAGAAAAGAAGGATTGATGAAATCTGACACGCTGCCACCATTGTGTTCGTGCTTTCTACGGAGCACACTGAACTGCTGACGGTTTGGGGCTGTGTTCCCAAAATGAGGAACCCAATTCCGTTTGCTTCTTCTACCATCTTTATTACTATTTTCTTGGGTCTGCTTTTTTGGAAACCTGTGGTATTTTTCAGGGTCTTCACTTAGAGCATTGTGCCGCCTTAACCAGTCATATGAAAAATTCACTGGGAATTTACGGTATCGCCCTTCCTTATCAGCCAACGACTCATGCTGCGATTGTCCGATGGGTTTCATTTGCTTCCGACTTTCTGAGATGAAATTCATAACTCCCAAATTATTAGAAACACCATTCGTCATCGGCAGCCTTTCATCTTTCCTCGAAGGGAGGACAGGTAAGATGTGTGAGTAGTAAGAAGACTGATGGGTGGGAGAACCACCAGACAAGGTGGAAACCCCTGAAGATGACTGCGGACTTGTTCCCACTTGCTTTCCGTACGTAACATCCGAGGCAGCTGCAGGATTTACCATTTTCCCATCCAACCACGTACCTGTATGGTACGGTGAATAACTCCCATTTTGCATAACAGTTTTTACAGACAAATCATATTGGGATTCTTTAGGAGAGCAGTCTTTAGGACTAAGAGGGATCTTGCACTCGTTGTTATTAAAAGCATCCCCCAAAGTAAAGCTACGGTGACCGTTTTGCACGTGGGTTTCCTGCGGTTTTCTGTTTGTCCCTCCAGACAAAGTATTTTCTTTAGGGGGTTGACTGAAAAAATACGGCGAAGGATGAACAGGGGACTGCAATTTATGAGCTGCTGTGAAGCTTTCGTATCTTTTAGAAAACAAGTGGTTGTCCTGGGACACTTTATCCCACGAGTTATCAACAGGCCGATTGGAAAGATCAGGGGAATAATTTTGCTCTTGAGCATCATTTTTCAGAGCTTTGCCTCTTGCTCTTTCAGTTTTCCAATACTCTTTCTGAATGTCAGAGCCTTGTTTCGTTCTGTTCCGAGGAGAAAAAGGGCTGAAATTGGAACAGATTTTTTCGTAGTCTCCATTTAGCCTCACGTGATCAAAACAGCACAAATGCTGACTATAGTCTCCATTTTGAAATGAAAACCCTTCTTGAATTGTATTATTGTTTTGCAAAGAGGAATTTTCAGGGTAACAGTTCTTCAGAATATTATCCGGCTGAGTGCAAGGGCCAGATGGAGAAAGCCAAGACTCCAGGAGGTGGAGATCTTCCAACCCTCTGTGTAACAGCTCCACATCACGAGACTTTTGCAACTGTTCCTGCTGGTAGCTCTGTGTGCCCGTCAGGTTTGAAATACTTTCAGAGTGCTTCGGTGAGAGCCCTGAGAATCCACCACCGCTTCCAAGATCAGGCGTCCACATAGGTGGAAATAATCTCGAAAGAGAATTCCTGTAACAAAGTTCAACAAAACCTCTGTAATGAGTTAAAACATTTCTTACTTTCCAATAGTTCATCTACCCCATTTATCCCACCAGCACATTTCCCTCATTACAATCCTGGCTACCCATACAAAATCCTCCTCCAAAATATAGGGCCAGGGGAACTATTCCCTCTGCAGTTGAGCAAATGCATTGCGCTTTCTGACCAGCAACACTGTTCTTCAACATTTATAACCTATATAATTCAGTTCTGCAAAATTTACTTGAATTTATTAAGTGTTTTAGATTTGACTCTGACAACTCCGTACTGCTTAAAATGAGATTTTCTCTCCCCAAACACTGTAGGCTGAGGGAAGATTTTAGAAAATTTGCATTTATAGCAGTTTACTGCTTTTCTTTTTAATTTTGCTGGCAACTAAAGAAAAACACTTCTATGTTTCAAGTGGATTTATAAGACCTTCGTCACTCCTTGAAAAAAAAAAAACGTGTCATGTCTGTGTGACAAAGAACGTAAAAAAACCAATACAAAACAGATAAGAATTTCCAGAACAAACTTACCAATCTGTAACCGGTTCTGGCTTGCTTGGCTCCTCTAAAATGCTTGACACTAGCCCAAACACATCAGGGCCACTGCCGGAGCAAGAAAGATTTATTGGTGCTCTGAAAAAAAAAGGAAAAAACCACAAACCAAAAAAGTCTAGATAAATAAAAGTCTTTTTCTCCTAAACAAAACAGGCAACAAGAAACACAAAACATTAAATCTTTAATCTATTTTAGCAGTATCTGCTAAGTGTTCTGAACTTAATGTATTCTCAGCACCCACCTACAGAAATCTCTCCCTGCATTTGTGAATTCTACAGCCTAAATTAAGCAGAAGTTTTCCGACTTCTTGCTTCACTAGAGACTTCTCAAACTATTATGTGAAGAAACAAGAGCAGCAGAGGATTTTCTTCTCTCTTCAATCAACACAACTATTTTGCACAGATTTCTTCAAACCTTGACTGTCTCCCTTTAGTGGATAAACATGACAAGTCTTCTCAAAATCTTGTTGATTCTAATTTTTCTACTTCCACAATTGAAGAACTATTTTTTTTTTTTTACAAAAAAAGTCATACCTAATTGTCATAATTAATTTTAACCACTTTTTAATCCCCTTTTAGAAAGGAGTTGGTCAAAACCTTATTACATATTCTTGATAAATACCTGTCACGTCCCACTCAGGG